TAATTATACGCGTTCCCAAACCTCCCCACAATCCTTTAAATCCCAACATTCTTATCTGTAATATATATAAATTTTTGCATTAATTATCGATCCGATCGATCGATCGATTCGATTCGATTCGATTCGATTTTATTATAAGGAATAAAAGGATTACCATTTGCATTGCTGTGCAACCTTGTTGTTGATTCATTTTCGATACCAATGTATCAGCCGGATGTGATACGACAGCGCAAAAAACTCCGGCTATGTAACCGGCAGCAAAAGTAACGGCTAATTGTTCTTCGTATGTACATTTTTCCCTCGGTTTTGGTACCACGTGTTCGTATAATAATTCTATCGTTCTTTCAAAACAAGCAAATTTCATCATGGTGTATGGGATTTGTCGTAGCCATAGGGGTACCAAAGATTTGTAAAATGCTTTTATTCCTTCATCTCTCCACATGGTTGGAAAACATTCCCTAAACGTTCTTCCACACTCTAACAACAAAGTTGATTATTATTTGGGGTTATGGAAGGAGGGGGGGTGGGTATATATCATTAAACGTACCCTCTGTCGTTTGTATTTTAACTTTAACAGCTTCCATTGGACTTAATGCAATATCAGCAATAAATTCAGCGCTTGCACTTGCACACAAATAAACTAAAGTTCTATAATTGTATGCATCTTCAGGGCTCAACATATTTGAATATTGTATTTTAAAAAATTCATAAAAAGCAAATTTGCATGCTCCTTGCATTGAATATCCTACAAGAGTTGGAAACCATCCACGTACCAACCTGAAATTAATAAATAAAACATTATTATTATTATTATTATTATTATTATTATTTTCAGATAAAACAATTTTTAGATCAAAAAAAATTATATTCTACCCTTTGGCTCCTTCTTCAGCAATGGTCGTTCTGAAACCACCAATCACTCCTCTATATTTATGAGGATTAACTTGTATTCTGCATTTGACAACATCCAATGGTGTGACCAAAAGATGTGTGACACCACAAGAAATTGCACCACCCAAAGCACAATACATAAAATATTCCGGGGATCCATATTCGCAACTGTATTGTGATGATGATGATGATGATGATGATGGTTTTTTAGTTTTTGAATCTGATGGAGCACAATCTGCTCTTATAAACGGACTCCAAAATGGATTTTCCTTTGATACCTTATATAATTTTTCCCACATTTTTCCTTTGTTAAATCTAATTAATACTTACGATGACAACAACAACGACAAAAATTATTATTAATAATACTTTACGATGATCTTCGATATATATTATTATATATTTAATTTTTCCATTCGATTTTTTTGTCGCATTTAAAACTTTTCATTTTTATTATTATTATTATTATTAAAATTTAGTCACCCCCGTACCAACGACGTTTTTACTACTTTTTTTTTTTTTTATTTAATTCGTCAAAAAAATAAATCACTGAAATTGTAAATATATTAAAACCATTTAACAAAAGACAATCGTTTCAAAACAAATTTTTGCGCTATTTTTTTTTAAAACAATTATTTTTATAAGTTTTTATTAATTTAATATTTAAAAAAAAAAAACTTGAGAAAATTGTAAAAAGTTAACAATTTTATTTTTTATTTTTTGCTTTATTAATTAATTAATTAACAAAAATTATTTCCCCAATAATTTTTTTTTTTTTTATATTTTTCACTTCCATGTAACGAATTTTTATGTTTATGACGTCATTAACGAAATCGAAAAAAAAAATCGTTTTCTAGAAGGCGGTGGGTTAGTTTCTCTTTTCAGTTTTACGTTTAGGCGGTTAGTTTTTTAATATCGTGAAATTAATATTATTTTTAATTACAATTATAATTATAATTTGTTATAAAGTTTGTTTTTATTGTTTATTTAACAATGTTTAATAGTTTATTAATATAATAATTATTTATTTATTTATTTTAAAGTTTTCTAAAGTTATATTCGTATACAGCTTATTTCAATTGGTAATAATTAATTATATGTTTAATTATAACTAATTTAATTTATATAAATAAAAAATCTATTATTATTATTAACAATAAATAAATATTGATCTGTTTTAAAGTTGTTAGAAAGCATGAAAGAAAGTAATAAACTGAATATTTAAAAGTAAAAAATAATTTAAATGATTATTCAAATGACGACGCCATTTATTTTTTGCGTCTGCAGAAAAAACCGCTAACACAAAATTTTTTCCCCACTACTACGTAAAATAAAAGAAGGCGGTGATTTACATTTGAAAAATGCTTTCATATGCGACTTACAGTCTTAGTTGTTTACATTGTTTTTTATCTTTATAATATAGTTTTTAGAAAAAAAAATTATTTATAATGATTATATAAATAATATTATGTATTTTTGTGTTTTTAATTTTTTATTAAAAATTTATTAATAATAATTTTAACTCGTAAGTATTTGAAAAAAAAAAAAAAATTTTTTTTTTGACGCATTTGAATGGTAAAGTAATGCAAAGTTTAGCATCCAGATTCGGTTATTAGGTATTACAGATAATAATTCAAGGTCGAAATTTATTTTATATTTTATTTCTGGATATTAATTATTCACTCACGGGATTTTTTATTTGACGTTTACCTTGTTATATAAGGTAATAAGTTTCGTTAAAAAAAAAAAAAAATTCCCGAGTTGAATTTATATGTTGAAATGTTTGTAGGAGTTAAATTTAAAATTTTGCAATGAATTACAATCACGTCCAATAAAGGAAACTGTAATTTTATTACTATTCATTATTATTATTTTTTTTTTTTAGAGGATGGGTAAATCAGATAGTGAATTAATAAATTCAGAAACTGAAGCGAGTAAAGTTTTAGAAGCAGCATTGCAACAAATGGATGGATTTATTAATGGTAAGGCCATTGCACTTTCTATATTATTTAATTATTACATTTTTTTTCTCTCGAAGGGGGAAACAATTTTAAAAGTTTTATTTATAATATCATCATCGAACAACAACAACAAGACAATTACATAATTTTTGTTAATTTTTTGTACTTTTATAAGAACATTCGGTCTATTTAACTCGATTATAACTGTACATTGTGTAAAATGTCAGTATTGTTTGTTGTTGAGCAGTTCGATATTAAAAAAAATTTTTTTAAAAAGTTACTGCTCTTGAATTATGTGTTATTGTAGTATAAAAATGTTTTTGAAATGACATGGATTTATAATTTTGTAAGTATTCAACTTATTTTTACATTTAAAAATAGTGTTAGTTGTTTTATTTAAAATTTAAGGTATCGTAATCAATAGTTTAATTTTTTTGCTCGATTTGGCAAAAAATATAAAAAGTTTTCCATGATACTAACATAACAAATAATTTAATGAATTTTATTAACATTTATCATTAAATTTTATGAATGTATTTGTTGAGTTTAAGAGAAAAAAATGTATACCAAATAACAGTAAGGAAAAAATTATCGAATATTTAAATTATAAATCAAAATTTTTTATACCGCGACGAAGAAAACTTTTCACTTTTCAACGGAAAAATCGAAGGAAAAACTAGGGAGACTCAGTGATGCCAACACAAAATTTCCACAAAGAAGAAAATCCAAAAAATTTTTTTTTTTGGAAACATGCTTTTAATGTTTTTAAACGAGTTTCATTTTAAATTTGATTTTTCTAAAAAAAAAACTGTTTCGATAAAATCAAAATGGTTTTCCCATTTTTTATAACATTTATATTAAGAAAATTGTACAAGGGAAAGCCATCGATATGATTCATGGATATTTTAATCCTTTTACAATTATCAAAAATATTATCAAATTTTAAATAATAATATTAAAGTCAATAGATATTCGATTGATTGATTGATTTGAGTCATGAATAATAATAATAATATCGAGTAAATTTATTTAAGTATCGATTAACATGTTAAGAATCTGATTTTCATTTATTTATAAATTTTTTTTTTTTTTTTTTAGCTTTAGCAAAACAAAGTAAAGTATGTCAGTAATTTTTTTAAATACAATCGACTACAAATTATATCGATGATTTTGTCAATTATCAAAGGTGTGGGTGTGTGTGTGTGTATTCACCTCTGAAGAAGTCAATTTCAAATTAAATGATTGAATCACGTCATTAAAAATATTTTTTATAAAATCAGTTAGTCAAAGCTTATCAACAAATTGATAACACGTCAAAATATGTTAAATTTAAATTAAATGTGTGTCAAAAGAAAATATTTTATTGTTCTTGTTTTGATTTAATTTTTTGTGAAAAAAATATTTAATTTATTTTGGCGGTTTTGACGGTTTTTCACGCTGGGATAAAATGTTAATAATAATAACAGGAAAGTCTTGTTATCAGTTAATAGATAGTGCGCTTGCGTTAATTTAGGGGTTGGGTTTTAATAATTTTCCGTCTTGTCAGTTTCGAATGTAAAATTGTACGTTTAAGAACAACAACAGCAACAGCAACAGCAGCAAAAAAAAATTTTTTTAAAATGAGTTCGTTAAAAAAAAAAAAATTGTATTTTTTATTATAATTCGTGAAAAAAATAAATTTATGTATATATATTTATTTTTTTAAATATTATAACTAAACGATTTATTTAAAATAAATGAAAAAATGTAAAATGATAAGAAAAATTGAATTTTATCATGACTTTTATGTTAAAATTTTAATTTTTTTTTTTATTCGCACTCTCACGATTTATGTATCTCACAACATATGTAAATACATAGTGGTAGTTTTTTTAATTATTATTATTATTATTAGAGGGTGTTTATCACCCTATTTAATATTATCAGTTAAATTAAAAGGTGTAGAGAATTTGGAAAGGGTGAATTTCTTTTAAAAACGAAATCAGCAGGGTCGTTTGTTACAAAAAAAAAAAAAATTATTTTAATTAATGACGTGATTGAATGTGAATACGCACACGCACACACACACACGCACACCTTAATAGATTGTTAAAATATTGTACGAAAAAAAAAAAAAAAAAAAAAAATTTACAACTTTAATTATTGATCAATTCAATCAATCAATATGTCGAAAAACGTTTATTATAAATTATTATTATTATTTTTAATAAAAATTTTTCCTTAGGGTTTTGTATATTTAAATAGAATGAAATAGGAGGAAAGAGAGGAGGAGTAGGAGAAGGAGGAGAAGGAGGAACAGGAACAGGAGGAGAAACAGGAGCATCATCATTTAAATTTCATTTTTCAACTTGAAACTTTTTTCATTTTTTATTATTATTATTATTATTATTATTATTATTATTATTATTATTATTATTATTATTATTATTATTATTATTATTATTATTATTATTAAAATTTTCTCCGATTCGGTTAATTATATTTATATTTAAAATTTCGAAATCGAATGTGTGAATACGTTAGAAAAATTCTAAAAATTATGACATGAATTAAAAGAATTTTTTTTTTTTTTTAATAGCAAATGAAAAAAAATTCTTTGCGGGTTTTTTGAATTTCGATAAACGACAGCAAAAAAAAAATGAAAGAAAAGTTTTAATTAAAATTTTTTTTGTTTTAAAAAAAAAATGACGGAGAAAAAATAAAAATAATAATAATAAAAAAAAAAGGGAAAGGAAAAATCGTGTTTCGATTTTGGACAAAATGTTGACGTTAAAAAAAAATGGAAAATTTAATGACGGTTGTGTGTTTGTGTGTGGGGGGAAGGTGCGGGGGTGCGGAAAGGTACGGGGAGTTAAAGAAAAAAAAGGTATCATCGAAATAAAAATGGAAAATGAATGATTTTTTGTTTTGACGTTGAAAAGGTTTGCCAAATGCTGTGTAGTAAATTGCGAATGAAAGGAAAAAAGGAAAAAATTTTTTTTTTTTTTTTTTTTCAATATTGCTTTCCTGTCAAATTCGTTTTTCTTTTTTCCAACTACGTTCGACACCTTTTTTCTCCCCCTCCTCAACGGAAAATTGAATTTTTTTTTTTTTTCCTTGCGGCGAGAAAGTGGGTTTTCTTTTAAAGGTTAAATTTCTAAAGGCAATTATCCACCTGTTGGGAAAAATTTCGTTGTCGAGTGCATTTTTACACAGCAGACAGTTTTCCAATTTTCCCATTCGTTCGTTCGTTTCCTTTTTTTTAATCTTCTCGTATTTTCCATTACTTAAATATATTTATATATATATATATATATGGGAAATTTTTAACCGAACTCATATAATTTACAACCCACCTGTTGCTAAAATAATAATAATAATAATAATAAAAGAAAATCTAGAGTTGCTGTTGTTTTTTTTTTTTTTTTGGCATTGTCATACGATTATTTATTTATTTATTTATTTATTTGCATATTTTATTACGTGTGAAAAAAATTTTTACTTTAACGTATATATATTTATTTAAATATCATTATTATCATCGTGGAAAAGTTTTTTTGGTTTGAATGACTCAGTGGTGGTGTATTAAATTGTGTTCGACGGCTTTAAATTCACCATCGGATAATACGGAAAAAGCATATTTCGAAGGTAAATTATTATTATTATTATTATTATTATTATTATTACGTACGTTAACTAACGGTTTTCATTAATGAAAAGACGAAGAAGCGGGAGAGGAGGGGGTGGGGGAAGAAAACCATAAAAAAAGGAAAATAAATTATAAATAATTCGAATGAAAGGAAATGTATGCGTGCGTGTGCGAAAGGGAAAAAATTTCTTTACCTTTTCTCCCCTCCCCTCCCCATTCTCATTCCCGTTACCCTCCCCCCCCTCAATTCCCATTCCCATTCCCATTACTCCCATTGATAATTAATAATTTTTGAAACGTGATTTGAAATAACGAAAGTGATTTATAATTATTTTATTACAGTTTTCTTATAAATAATAATAATAATAATAATGATGATGATGATGATGATGATGATGATTTCCAGGTAGTTAAACAACCACGTGTTCCCACGTGTTTTTAAAAACGCCCACAATTTATTTTTTTAGGTGAAAAAGAAGACAAACCGTCGTTTTTGATGGACGTTTCGATTTGGATTTTCCGCATAAAATCCTTTTCGGACATTTTTCCTCTTTTTTTTTTTTTTTTTTTTACGTCAACGTTTGATTTATTTTTTATTGCAGGTGTAAAACTGGATACTGGAGACATTCCAGCTTTGTCTTCCGGCTCTAGAGCCATAGTAGAAATTGCCGAAGAATTATCGAAAGCAATTTCCGAGTCTTCCTACTTGCCTTCTCTTCCGTGTTCAAATGTGGCCTTAATTATAAGAAATTGGATCAATCAGAATTCTGGCGTAAGTGAATGAATCATTATTATTATTATTATTAACCTTTTTCCCTTTTTTTTCTCGGTTGTTCGAATCGTGAAAAAGGTAAATTGATTACTTCTCTCTCTCTCTCTCTCTTTTTTTTCTATTTAAATGAAAATTATTTAGCAGTTGTGAACAATGGCTATTTTTTTCTTTTTGTTTAAAAATTTGTTTTGATTGTTTTTTTTTTTTTTTTTTGACGAAAATTGAAACGGGAGTTTTAAATGGGATTTTTTGTGACCCCTAATTTTTTTTTTTTTTTTTTTTTAAATTTCGAACAATGAATGAGGAAAATAGAAAAAAAAGAATTTTCTTTTGTATTGTTGTCCGGGGGGAAAAGGTTTTTTAAAAAAAAAGTTATTTAAATTTGCTGGGTTGAAGTGCAAAAAAGTTGGAAAATTTTCCTTTTTTTTTTTAGCTTAACTTAGCTGACCGTTTCCCAATTTACTTTGAAAAGGCAAAAAAAAAAAAAAAAAAAAAATTGATTTTCTCTCTCTCTCTCTCTCTCACTTCATTTAAAACTCTGGCATTTTTAAACGAGAGGTCATTTTAAAACTTTATTGAAAATTTGTTGTTTTGTGCAAAAGGTAGGGAAAAAAAAAAAAGAAAAAAAATTTTTTTAATTTTGAAAAAGGTTTTAATTCGAGTTACGAGAGAGACTCTGAGTTGAAAAAAAAATCGCAAATGTTTGCAAATTTTTTTTTTTTTTTTTTTTTTTACTGCCGCAAAACCTTTTCGGTTTTTTTCTCTTCCCCCCCGTCGGGATTTTAATCCCTCCCGCCTAATTCGACGTTTATTTTTTTTTTTTGCTTACGTTTTTGTAAAGGACAAACTAAAAAATATTAATAATAGGAATGGAGGTGATGATTCGTTGGTAGAATAAACTTTTCCTTTTGGTTTAAACCGGAAGGGGGGGGGAGAAAAAGAAAAGAAAAAGGAAAGTTTTTCCACGTATTAATTATCTCGTAAGTCGTCTCTTTCCAACCCCTTTGGGTAAATATTTTCCGTAAAGAAAAGTCTGATGATTTTTTAAAAAAAAAAGATTGTTGGAACAAACGTTTGTTCGATCCGAAGAAAGAGAGACAAACAGAGAGAGAGAGAGAGAGAGAAACGAAATGACTGTCGTTATTAACGAGAATTATTATTATTATTTGCGATCAAGTAAAAGAAAGAAGGAAGAAAAAGGAAAAAGGCGAGGAGGCTATTGGAGACCCCTCTCCCCAAAAAAATAGAGGAACAATTTGAGAAAATTTCGATGTTTGTTGTGACAATATGTCGTTAAAAAAGTTTACGATAAAAAAAAAAAAAAGGAAAAGTTTTCATAAGAAAAGAAAAAACGTGGATTGAAAGAAACTCGTTTGTAGGACGACTTTTCCGTTTTGTTAGGATTTAATTTGAAAAAATATATAAAAATCATCATCATCATCATCAACATCAACAACATGGACGACGACGACGACGAGAAGGAGGGAAGATCGTGTTCGATTTTTTTTTTTTTTTTTTTTTTTTTTTTTATCCGACATGTGTTTTGAATGTTTCAAATGGTTTCGGTTGTTTTATTATTTATTTATTTATTTATTTATTTTTATTTTATTTTTTGTAATGGTTTTCGTCGTCCGGTAATAAATTAGAAACAAATGTTTTCGGACGTTCGGAGATTGGATGGTATAACACAAGACTTTGATTTATTGAAACATTTTTTCTAAATAAACGTAAAAAACCTGGAAAGGAAACGCTGCCGCCGCCGCCGCTTCGACGAAGACAAACCCCGACAAGTCAAGTTAAAAGAAAATTGTGAAAAAGGAAAAACGGAGAAAAAAAATGTTTTGAGACGGAGGAGTTTCCATCATTTTCCCTTCATCGCGCGACGAATGAATTTAATAAAAATGAAAATGGGAAAAAGGAAAAATGGGAATTTTTTCATTTTGCGGAGGAAAAACACAACAAGTAAAATTTTCCGGAAATTTTAAAAATTTAAACGTAATTTTCCATCATCGTTTACGGTTTATTTTCAAGGGTGGCCGGCCCTGTCGAATTCGAAATTTTCAAAAGAGTTTTCCTCCCCCCTCCCGTTTAAGGTGGCGGATGAATGGTGGTTGGTGATCGATTTAAAAAAAAAAAAAAAATATGAATTCAAAAAGCAAAAAAAAAAAAAAAAAAATGGATGGATGGGGGAGAAAAAGAAAAATGGGAAAAAGGATTAAAATGAGTTTTCGCAAGTTTTTTTTTTTTTTTTTTTTTTTTTTTTTTTTTTTCAAACAATGGAAGTGAACGTGAGAGAGAGAGAGAGAGAGAGAGAGAGAAAAAGAGAGAGAGAGAAAGTGAAATTTTAACCTGAAATAATACGGGATGGGATTTACGGGTTCGATGGGAGGGGAGGAGGAGGGATGAAAACACCAAGCAAGTGCGTTCGTGCTTAAGGGGGAGGGGTGAAAAGGGCGTGCGTGCGTGTGCGTGTGTATTTTTTTTTTCTTCACGAAATTCGATAGAAGATTCGAGAAAATGAAAGCCTCCCCGCATGGTTTTTGAATATGTTCAAACGGTGAAAAGCTGTTGTTGTTTTAGAGTATTTTCTCTTTCACGTCGCGATATTTTACTTAGTTGATATTTTTTTTTTTTTTCATTCCCGGAAAATGTTAAGGGATTAAAAAAAAAAGCTCTTTTCCGAGACTTTACCGACGATGCGATTTTTTTTTTTTTTTTTAGGAAATTTGCTGTCGGTTATGTTTTCGATTTAAGGAAAAAAATCATCGCGAAAAATTTTTTTTTTTTTTGTTTTCATTTAATATCGCGAAGGTCGTTTTATGACGTTGTGTGACGATCCCGCTGCTGTTTAGGTTTTTAACTTCCGAAGAAAAAGGAGAGACAGAGAGAGGGGGGGAAAGGGGAGGGAGAGAGAGAATCGATTTCGTTTTTACCGATGATGGTAGTAAAGAACAATGAGTTTTTGTGTTAATAAATAAAACTTTATTTGTTTGCGTACAACGGGAATAAACGAGAAACTCCCACACACCTGAATGTTGTCTCTCCCTTTCCCCCTCTCCCCTCCTTCTCCCTTCCCCCTAACGTTTAAAAAATCATACTTAAACGGAATATAAATGATGATCGGTAGTTTGAAAAAAAAAAAACATGGTGGTAAATGTGTGTCTTGGATGATGTTTTTTTATGTGATTCGAATGAATATTTGTGTTAAACAATGATGTGGTGTTCGCCCAACGTTACGTGCGATGATAATGATGATGATGATGATGATGGTGGTGGTGGTGGTGTGATGTATGGGGAAGCCGTGGAATTTTTTTTTTTTAATTTTTCTCCCTTTTCGTTCGGTATCCCTAACGAGGATTTTCCACGGATTTTCCTTCTCGGGTTTTCGGGATTATTTAATAATAATAATAATAATAATAAACTTTTTTTTTTGCGTTGCGGCGTAAAAGGAGGGGAGGAGAGAGGGAGAGAGAGAGAGAAAAAAAAATTTAATTAAAGATTATATAGGAAATGTCCAAAAAGGGTTGTTGTTGTTGTTGTTGTTGTTGGCGGCCGCGAAATTTTTTAAACCGTATCAAGGAAAACAAAAAATTTCATTGACGATGAAATTGAATTTTTTCGAACGCATTAAATAATAATAATAATAATAATAATAATAATAATAATAATAATAATAGTGCAAAAGATTCTTCCAGAACGAGTCGCGCCTAAAATAAACATAAGATTTAAAAATAGCTTTTCATTGGGTTGATTGTTTTTTTTTTTTTAATTCTCGAGTTCCTAGTTGTTGTTGTTGTTGTTGTTGTTGTTTTGCGTGCAATTCATACGGTTTGCTTGTCTCATCTTATGCTTGTGAAAATTTATTTATGTGGGTCTGTCTGTCGATTCCGGTGGTGCGTCAGTGAAACGTTTATAACAATAATAATAATAATAATCTAGTGTACACGCACGCACGCACGCACACGAATTTAAAATTTAAATAATATTCGTTCGAATACACACACACGCCCTAACAGCAATCATGCTTCTTCCTTCCTAGTCTTGCGTTGTCAGTCATTGACGAATGCGGTACGTTTACGGAACGCACGTTCGTATTGTGCTTTTGTGTTTTTGTTGTTGTTGGGATAAAAGAGTTTTCGGTTGTGTTTGTTGTTGTTGTTTGTGTTTGTGTTTGTCTGTTCGATCCCGTTTGTTTTGTTCATATATTCGCGACGTTTAATTTTCTTATTTTTTTTTTTTTTTCCTGTAGGATTTTGACTTTTAATCTTGTTTTATATATATATTTTTTTTTCTTACGGATAAATTTATTATCGCGGGTTTAAAGGTTTTAAGAGAGAGAGAGTTCATATTGTTTAAAGGAAAAAGGGTGGGAAAAGAAGAAAGGGGAGGGGGTGGGAAAAGGGTTGAAATTGTCGGGAAAATTCTATTTATTAATTTTAAATGTAAGACGACGACGATGACGTGAAAGTTCAGATTTTTTTTATTTTCTTTTTTTATTTTCTTTTTCCTTATTAAGTTTTTTGTATATATAAATCCTTTTGTGGAAAATTTATTAATTTATTTTTATACAAATGTTTTAAAATTGTTATGTCTGCGTCGGAAAATTTTTTTCTCGTTTCGGGATTCGGGAAATTCGGGACGTAAGGAAATGGTTAGGTTTCGTCTCTTACGAAAATCGTCATCATCATCATCATGACGAGTACGACAACCATTTTGAATTGGCGTATGTGAAAATGTTTTCTTTATTCTTATCAGGTTTTCGCGTCCGGAAAACTTGTTTCCTTTTCTCGAAAAAAAAAAAAAAAATTCGGGGTTCCATAAACGATGACGATACGGGAAGAGGGATCGGTGAAGGGGTTAAGGAGGGACACGCACACGCACGCACACACGTGCGCGATGGTGGGCGGACGTTAATTTTTACGATGCGTGAAATATTTAAATTCGTTTGTGAAATTCGTATAAGGAAATGCGAGGACCGGAGAGCGGAACGGAAATAAAATGGCGACAAAATTAAATTTTGGCGAAAAAATTAAATCAAATTTGTTATAAATTTGCGTCAATCATCCGATTTGAGGAATAATAATAATAATAATAATAATGATGAAATCCCCTCGATATATATGTCTCTGAAATAATTAAAATTGATGTCGCTATTAGGACGGGAAGGGGAGGCGGAAGAGGGGAAGGGAGGGAAACGTCACACGTTCTCCAAATCGAAATCCTTTCTAGATTTTTTTGTAAAACGTTCAGACTTTACTCACTCACTTGTTTCTTTATTATAATTAATTTAAACGAAGAACGGAATGCTGCGAACGGGTCAAGTTTATTTTGTCGATAAAAGAAAACGATAAATTTTTTTTTTTTTTTTTTTTTTTTTTTCTCTTTCGCAGACTATTGTTATTATTATTATTATTAGTATTTTTAAAATGGCATGAAATTCAATGAATCGGGGATAAAAGTGTCGATGAAAGAAAGAAAGAAAAAAAAAAAGAAAGTAAAATGTGTGTGTGTGCGAGAGAGAGAGAGAGAGAGAGAAAGAAAAGTTTTCTGAATGAAAGCAATTTTCAAGATTAAGTTAAATTGTGAAAACTCATAAGTTGTTCCTTAACTTATTAAAACTTTTCCATCGAGTGTTATTTAAATATAAATAAGTAAATAAATGAAAATCGCATATTTTTTTATTAATATTTCTCTCTCTCTCTCTCTCTCTCTCTTCGTATATTTTTAGCGAAAGAGAGAGAGGGGGAACTATAAAGTATGCGAAAGAGGGAGAAAGTAGTTAAAAAAAAATTTAAAAATAATTTTTTTTCATTTGTTCACAAATTAAAAAAAAAAAAAAAATTCCAGAATGTGAAATTTATTTCAAAATGGCGTCCGAGATTTAAAACGGTTAAGAAAAAAAAATATTGATAATAATAATAATAATAATAATAGCAACAGTTTTTCGAATAACGATTTTTAAAACCATGTTATTATTATTATTATTATTAATATTTTCGGTTAAAGTTTAAGCCAAAGGTCTTTCCATCCTCTCTCTATCTCTCTTTTTTTTTCTTCTTCTTTCTCTCTCTCTCTTTCTTTCTTTTTCTCTCTTCTTTCTTTCTCTCTCTCTCTCTGTCTTGTTCCCCTTCTTCTTCCGCATTTTATTTTTCTAAGAGTTCGACTGGGATGCACGACTGGATAAAATTGTGACTGACTTAATTTTAATACGAAACCTTCCGAAATGATGAAACGTCCATTTTGTCGTTAATATTTTTTTTTTTTTTTTACTCGTCTTCTGCTTTTTTTTTGTCCATAAATATTTCGTACTTTTAATAACAATTTATTTATTTATTTATTTGTTAGTAATAAAAAAAAAAAAATGTTAAAAGGAGCGGTTAACGGTAAATTAAATAAAAAAAAAAAAAAAAAAACAATTTATTATTTTGTCATTTTATTGAACAAAGCCGGAAATGATTAGGATGGTTCATCATTAGGAGGAGGAGGAGGTTGAATTTCGTTTCAATTAATTATTATTAAATGCGTATAAGCTCGTGTATTTATTTATCGAATTTAAAATTGTGGCCTGGTACAAAATGGCGGGAAATTTGATTTTTTTTGGTTTGAATGAAATTTTTTTCTCTCTCTCTCTCTCTCTCGTCGTAGGTAGTATACTTTTCCTTCTTTAATTTTAATTCATGTTATTTGTTAATTATAGTTTAAAAAAGGGTCACCACCACACATTAGAAACAATATTAGTTTGTGTCTTAATTCGTTTCGTAAGAGCTCCTCGTCGTCGTTGCCGCCATAGTCTTTTCTTCAATTACGTTTGTGAAAAAAAAAAAAATGAACGACGTGGGTACATTTGCCGAAATAGCCAAAATGTCTGTTGGTTGGTTGTTGTTTGTTGTTTGTCGTTGCCGTCGGGAAAAAATTAATTTTTGTCTTTGTTAAGGATAATTGAAACCGAGATTAAAAATTGTTTCTTCTTCTTCTTATTATTATTATTATTATTATTTTTTGGTGTTTTTTTTTGTGTCGACTGATTGACTGATTGACTGACTGACTGACTGATTGATTGACTACTTTCGCGAAAGTGAAATACATAATAAAATGTTGCGGTTAATTATTTGAATGATGATGATGATGATGATGTCGCCATGATGAAAGTTTTTTTTTTTTTTTTTTTTTTTTGTCTTATGAAACTTTCGTTGATTGACGCGGGATTTATGTGGATTTTTATTATTATTATTTTTGTATGAGAAATGGCGTGTGCGTGAAGTTTACGGGAGGTGGGGGGGCGGAAGGAAGGATGCGTGTTTGTTTCGTTTGTTACGTTGAAAAGAAAAAAAAAAGGAAAAAAAAAGTCTACGAACCCACAGATCTTTTTTAATTAACACTTTAAATTAATCGTTAATAAGGATTTAATAAAACATGATTCACGTATAAGAGGTCTTAAAGGTCGTGTTCCTGTCCCGATAATTTAAAACTTTTGTTTTGGTTGTTGTTGTTGCGGTTGTTGCCGAAGTTGTTGTTGTTGTTGTTGTAGTTTCGACAACAATATCGAATTCGATTCGATTTTTTTTTTTATAATTTATTTTATTTAAAAAAATTTTTTATTTTTTCTTGGTATAGTTCATGTTAAATAAACTTTCAAAAACTAAATAAATAAATAAATAAAGCAGAAGAAATAATATTAATAATAATAATAATAATAGTAGTAAAAAGAAGAAGGAAAATGTTAGAATCGACTCCGAAACGTGGTAACGTGGCATCAGTCATAGCACATTTGGAAAAAAGGCAAAAAATTGATTTTTCAAAATTGGATGGAGGGAAATGTACGAAGAATGAAAATTTCATCGTCGGCGGTGGCGGTGGTAAGTTTATTATTATTATTATTATATTTTTCCCATATTGAATGGATAAATCGAGCGAAAGTTTTTGTGATTTTTTTTTTTTTGTTAAAAATCGCTTTCAAAAGAACATTTTTTTTTTTTGGGGGGGGGAGAGGTTTATAAAAATGTAAAAGAAAAATCGAAGGAGGGAGGGAAAGTAGGAGGAGGAGGAGTCGGGAGATTGAGAAGAGAGGAGGGAAAAAAAAAAAAAAAAGGGAATCCCATTTCTGTGTGTGTGTATGTTGGAAAAAGAAACGAAACGAAAAAAAAAAAAGACAGAATCAAAATGTTAAGAGTTTATAATATACTCTATCCTGGGTCACTGCCCCTCTTTTTTTAGCCATCAACAACAAGAAAAAAAAAATTTTTTTTTTTTATTTAGGCTTTAGTTAGTAGTAGTAGTTAGTTTACAACAGACTACAGGAAAACAGTTTGAAATTTTTTTTCTTTTTTTTTTTTTTAATGTTGGAAAAAAGAAATTTCGAAAAAGTCGAGAATCGGTCGTAAATAAAATGTTTAAAAGCTTTTTATTTTCGCAAAAAAGTGAGTTTGAGTTTTATCATTATTATCATTATCATTATTATTATTATTATTATTATTTATTTATTTATTTATTTATTTATTTATTTAATGGACGAAACTCGCTTCTGTGTTTTTTACGTAATGGGGAAAAAAAAAAAGAAAAAAACTTTAATAAATAAATAAATTGGCTGGCATTCCATTCCTTGAGGTTTTTAATTAAATATTTATTTTACTGGGGGGGGGGGAACAAGGTGAGTGGTAGTGGAGAGAGAGAGAGAGAGGAGAAGAGGGAGGGGGAGGAGAGGGGGTTTTGGAAAACGTGAAAAACAAAAAAAAAAAAAAAAATGGCAGAAATTTATTTTTGGAAAATTTGTGAAAACTTTTTTGTTTGTTTGTTTGTTTGTTTGTTTGTTTGTTGTTTGTTGTTTGTTTTTCGAACAATGTGTTTCCTTTTTTGGCAACCGAAAAAGAGAATGAAATTATAGAGATAAAGTCAAAGGAAACGACAGATTCGAAAAAGGATTCCTGTCGTGTTTCTCTCTCTCTCTCTCTGAAAGAGAAAAGTAAAAGTTATGTTATTGGGGGTGGAGTAAAAGTTATGTTATTGGGGGCGGGGGGAAGACAGTATCTCGTTAAGAGTAAATAAAAAAAAATGTTCTTTTGAAATCGGAATTTATATTTTTGATTTCCCCCCCCCCTCCCCATCCCAAAAAAATGATGATGATGATGATGATGATTTTTTTTTTTTTGTGAAATTTTTTAGGAGGAGAAGATTCGAGTCCTGACGAATCGACGATTAAACAAACGTGGTCCGGTTCGGTTTCCCCGGGTGTTTATTCATCCGGTTCTGATTTTTCATCCACGGATGATTTCGAAGATGAAGAAGACGCGATGGAAAACGGGAAAGATGACGAGGAAATGAATAAGAGAGAAAATGATAGGAGAAAAAGGAATTCGATAACGAAAGATTGCAATTCGGATTTTCATTGGATCGTATCGTCGTCATCCGGTAAAGGATCGGAGTCGTCTGCAACCGTTTACGAATCAGAAAAGAATAAAATGGAGGATAAAAAAAAATATAGTAATAATAATAATAATAAAAACGGTAATAAAATGTACGAGAACGAGGGGAAACGAGATTTGGTGGAGGATGAATCAAATTATTCATATTCGAGCGATCGACTACGGAAAACTTCAAATCAAACGATGCTCGTCGAATCGCTCGATATCCCGGTTCAACTTCGTCTCCCGCCTCAAAGTCCCGGAAGTTTGGACAGGAAACGTTTGAATACGTCCAGACTCGACCGAGACGTTAAATCGAGATCCACGATAGTGAGCAGGAGTCCTCAATCTTCGAGAAAATCTCACGCGAGATCTCTAGACGGAGTTAACGTCGTCGTGTCGTCATCTTTTACCGGGGACGGTTTGAAAAAAAGGGGAGACACGAATCGGAGTCACGAGGAATGGAAGGATTACAACGACGTTGAAGGAGGAGATTCGTGTTGTCAAATGAACAGAGCACTATATTCGGGAGGATTTGGATGCTGGGGAAATTATTGCGGCGGGTGTCTCAGTCATCATCATCCCCATCAGCATCACCCTCATCATCCGCATCATTTGTTACACCTTCAAACGCAGTATAGAAACGCGACGGCTTACGGAAGTTGCGAAAACATCGGCGACAAAACATCGAGGAAGAATAATTTTGGAAGTCAGAGAACTTTGTGCGAGGGAAGGAAAAAATTTAATTGGACGGATGGTCAGAATAGATTGATTTACGGGAGCAACGAATATTTATCTAATCACTGCTGTCCGACAGAAAGAGAAAAATTATATTCTATGAGGTTATCATTGGGAAAGGTCAGATAATAATAATAATAATTAGGTTTAATAAGAATACTTTACGCCATTGTTCAAACGATCACGCTAAATAATATCAATTTTCTCTCTCTCTCTCTCACTCTGTCTCTATCTTTCTTTCTCTTTCTCCAGTTCCGGAACGCATTCCGTGGAAAGGGGTTTATTTTTAGGGAATGATTTACATATATATATTATTTTTTTTTCAGTCAAGTGGGCCAGAGTTAGAAGAAAGATTAATACGATTGGAAAATGATCGGGAATCCCTACAGCTTCAGGTTTCCGTACTCACGGAGCAAGTGGATGCTCAAAGTGAAAAAATATCTGATTTGCAACAGAGTTTGGATGATAAAAAGCAACAGCTCATGAACGCGGAAGATTTGTTGCAAAGAGTAAATTAATTATTTCAATTTAACTGCTCTGCTTTTTTTTTTTTTTTTTTTTGTCTTTCTGCTTACACGTTTTGTTTTTCTTCCCACGACGACAGGAAATATTGACGAGGTCGTCGTTGGAAACTCAAAAACTCGAATTGATGTCGGCCATATCGGAATTGAAATTACAACAAGCCGCGATGGAAAGGGAAAATTACGAATTGAAAGAAGAGAAAAAAAGATATCAAAACGTTATCGTTAAACCTCCTATGATTCCTAAAAATTCTCTCCTGATGCAATCTCCTACACCTCCTCCTAGTACCGTATCAACCTCGAATCGCATGTCTCCCACCGATTATCCAATCGTTCGTAAGTCTTCGAGCCTTTTTTCCAATCAGGATTTTTCAGACTCGTCGGCGAATCAAACGTCGACGAATTCGTTTTCCGATTCACATCATAATAAGTATTTAATTAGTTCCACGCCTAATAATAAGATAGTAGGGTCGTCGTCGTCGTCGAGTCCCGTCATGACGAACGTGGATCGACAGCAACAACAGCAAAAGGATTTAATCAATTATATTTCTTCGGTGGGTAAATTTTTTTTTCAGTTAGAGGTTTTACCCGGGGAGGGAAGGTGGGAGGGAGGGAGGGAGAAAATTTCACGGGATCGTTTACTCGAATGAAAAAAATTAATTTTTTTTTAAAATTCCAGTCCCCTCAACCAAATTTAAGGAGGTCGATGGATCAATATAGCAGTCTTCCGCGTCAGAAAATACTTGAAAATCAGGGAATGAATCAGTTACCAGAATCAGTTACCGGAAGAAATCAGTCGACAACTCTTGGTAAAGGAATAACGTCACTGATAACACTTAACACTGAGAAAAGCTATTCAGCACCAAACTTAGGTGATGGGAATTTCACTGTTTTCTTCCATTTTTTTTTTTTCTTCTTCCTACCCTACCTCCCCTCCTCTCTCTCTCTCTATCTCTCTCTCTAATCATTGTTATCTATAATAAATGCATCGGTGTCGGGTGGGAGCGAGCGAGAGAGCAAGCAAGCAGAAGACGAAGGGAAAGGAAGTCTTTAAAAAAAATATTTTTTGCTTTTTTATGCTTTTTTTTTTCCCGTAACGGCTTTTAAAAATTAAGAAAATGATCGTTACTAGATTTATATTATTTCATTCATTTACTTTTATTCTGGAGTTGGCAAGGGGGGGGGAGGAAAGAGAGAAAATCTTCTTTAAATTGAAAATTTCTCAAGCTTATAAAACTTTTTGGTATTAAAAACATCTTAAAGCACGCTTATCAGTTTATGAGATAAAAAAGGGAAAATTTTCTTTTTTTTTTTTTTTTCTTAGTAGAATGAATGAAAACTTGTTGTATAAAATGATATAGATATTATCATCATCATCATCATTTCTCTTTTCAAAGGTTTTATATTCATCATTATCATTTCTTTAAGGAGCTTTGTTTAAATATTATTTATTTCCTTTTAGGATTTTTTTTTACTTTTCCTTTGATTATTTTGAACAGAAGTAAGTCGTTTTACAAAAAAAAAAAAAAAAAACTAATTTTTCCTTTTTTCCTTTTACAGCCGAAACGGAGAAACAGGGAGGAGGAGTAGGAGGAGACGATGAGGGAGATAACAGTATTCCAAATGAAGTTATAATGCCAAAGCCAATCGAACCCACATCAACAAATCAACAGGGAACAATGACGACATCTAGAAAGGGAATCAAAAAACTTTTCAACAAGTAAATTATTATTATTATTATTATCATTATTTTCTTCCGGTTTAGTAACGTAAATGAAAATGATTAACGAAAATCAATAATAGCTAATATGAATATTATTAATGAGGAGATATCATCTTTCTCCCCCCAACGACCAACACCACCGTCAACATCCCCGCCCCCCAAATAAGTAAAAATTGGGCTTTAACAAATGCTTTTCTTTTTTTTTTTTAACTTATATATGGACGACGCTTGTTTTTTTTTTTTTTTTTGGAAAAAAGCGTCTGCTTTTGTTATGTCTAATGCGCATTGTGCTTTTTTATTATTATTATTACTACTACGATCACCACCACCACCGCTACCGCTACCATTATCACCCCCGAAGAATAAAAAGAAGTAATTCGGGTAACGTTAACGATTTAGTCGGAGATGGAGATTTCAAAAGAGGACGGGTACGTGCAACCATAGGAGGACCGACAAGACTCGGTGGAAATAATTCGCAAATATTTAAACCGTGAGTATTGGAATCCGCCCATCCCCCTCCCCCCGCCATTTTTTTTTTTTTTACGTTGCCGTTATGTAAATGTTTAAGATGAACGAAAGGGGCGAAAGTGAAAAGGAGAGAACTAACAAAAAAAAGAAAATTTTTTTTTCAATTATTATTATTATTATTATTATTTTCTCTCTCTTCTTCAGGCCCGACAAGCCTTTCGCGGATTGGGACGTGGATAATCTGTGCGGATGGCTGGAAGAGTTGAGTCTCGAAAATTACGTCGGAGATTTGAGACGATGGATAAAAAATGGCGGACAATTGTTGGCGGCGACTCCGAATGAAATAGAAAAAGAATTGGGTTTGAAAAATCATCAAATGCACAAGAAAAAACTTTTGCTCGCGCTCCAGGAAATGAATGAGAAAAATTCGGAATTTGATGAATTGCTTAAACCCGCAGGATGTTTGGACACGGCTTGGGTGAGAATTATCGAAAAATCGGCGAATCGCGAGAATCGATCGATTTGTAAATCGATTTTTTTTTTTGGTTTTAAAGGTTTTGCGTTGGTTGGACGACGTCGGACTTCCTCAACACAAAGAAATTTTCTTAACGGCACGAATCGACGGACGTATGCTTCATAGGTTGACGATGGATGATTTGGCAACAATGCACATAACATCAGCATTGCACGTAGCTAGTCTTAAAAAGGGTATCAAGGTAAGAGAGAGAGAGAAAAGGATTTGCTGTCGCTCCTGTCGTCATTCCTTTAACTGTTGTTGTTTGTTAAAGGTGTTAAGAGAATATAAAATGGATCCAAATTGTCTTACCAGACGAAGCGTTCCAGACGAACCACCCCCGACGGCAGCCGACGTTGCATTATGGACAAATCACAGAGTCATGGAATGGTTGAGAGTCGTGGATTTAGCTGAATACGCGCCTAATTTAAGGGGATCCGGTTAGTTTTCTTTTCTATTATCATCTTCGTCATTTCAATTAGTTTTACATTTATTATTATTATTATCTTTTGGGTTCTTTCAGGTGTTCACGGAGCCTTGATGGTCTACGAAACGAAATTCACGGCAGATTTGCTAGCGTCGTTACTTAACATTCCGCCGAACAAAACGTTGCTCCGACGTCATTTGAACACACATTTTAAAGAATTGCTCGGGAGGGAAGTCATACAAGCGAAAAGGGAAGCGGAAACAACTTTGGGATACATTCCGTTGACGCCTTCTGCCAAAATCAAAGTGAGTCGATCGATCAATCGGTAAAAACAATATTATTATTATTATTATTATTATCATCGTTAACTTTTTTTTTCTTTTTCTTTCTTTTTGGTTCATCGATTTTGTTTTGGATGCAGGCCGTTAAGAAACCGCAATTCACGTTGAAAAGAAAAAAGAACAAACAAGATGTGGATTATGGGGATTTAGTTTGTCCTCTCGACGACGGGGCTTCAGGTGAAAATCCGAATTTCTCGACTAATGCTTGTCCTCTTAATGCAAATGGTGGCGGTTTCGGAGTAAGTCGCTTAACTAACAATAATAATAATAATTAACAATTTAACAAGTCGCGGGTGGGGCGGGACGGTCGGGCGAGCGAGGGCGGGGAGGAGGCGGGGCAGGAAAGGGGAATCGACTAACAAAAGAAAAAAAAATAATAATAATAGAATGCTTGCTTGAATTTACGAAAAAAAAAAAAAAAAGGGATTGCTTGGGAATGATTCTGGATGACCATTTTCGAAGAAATAAAAAAATTTTTGTTTGTTTGTTATTTCAGGGGACGAAAGAGAGAAGACACGTTCCGGATGTTTGTCCACTCACTGATCCTTCGCCAAGGGTGAGTCTCGAAAATTTTATTTTTATCTCTTTCTTTCTTTCTTTCTTACTCACTCTGTCCTTTTTTTTGTTTTTAAATAAGGAATCTCCGATGACGACGCGTACTTTACGGATTTGACCCGAAAATCGGATTAATAATAATAATAATGATAATAATG